TCACTGGAAATAAGGAAGACTTGATCAAGATGACAGATGAGCACATCCACCCCAGATCCTAACAAATGATAGAAAACGTTTTTTTTTTTCCTTTTTATCTTTTTTTTTTTAACTGACCGGTAACGGGATCGCAACCCTCGGTGTCACGCCCGTACCGAGGACCGGCAACGGGATCGCAACCCTCGGCGCTGCGCCCGCACCGCGCTCAGCCAGTGAGCGGGAACCGGTCTCCACATGGGATCCGAACCCTTGGCGGGAGCGCCGCCGCACTCCCAAGCGGCGCACTCTCCAGTGCGCCACCAGGCCGGCCCTAGAAAATGTATTTTTAGGAGAATAAATCTATAACAGCCTGGAAAATGAAAAAGAATGTTCCCAGTGAACCAGAACTTTTTAGGAATTGTTGAGCTATATTGTTAAGTGAAAAAAAAAATCATTTAAAAAATATGTAATATCCCATTTATGAAAAGAAGCTATGTATGTGTGTATTATACTTGTATGTTTGACATAGAGACCAGGCTGTTGACAGTGGTTGCTTCTAAGGAAGGCATTCAATTAGGATATGAGAGATGATAAAGGAAAACTCACTTTTTTAATGAAAGAAGGGAGGAAGAAAATGAAACCGTGAGCAGAGAAAAGTGCAGAAGCTTCATGTGCTTTGAGCTCTCACCTTCTTTCTTGCACTCACCTGTTCTTTCCTGCAGCCCTCGGGGAACCAGGCTGAAAGGGGAGGGAAGCCCATGGTGGAGACACAGGTTGCATCTCTGACAAGCTGCCTTTCTCTCCTTACAAGCCTTTCGAACTCCCTCACACGCTTCCTTGGCTTCAACTCTGGTCAGCTCCCAAATCTGTTTTCTCAGTGGATCTGTCTGTGGCCTGGCATTTCCAACTGTCTTCTGACGAATTCCATCAGTTCAAGCATCCCTATTCTTTGGCACTTTTAGAGGGTTGTGTTGGACTTCGAGTGTTTCCTAGGGCTTAGGAATTTAGATCTTTCTCTGTTTTCTGGATATGTATTTAACCAAAGTAAATTGTGGGGGGGAGTCTCCAGTTTGGTTCTCTCAGCAGTAAACAATTTTCCAGCTGGACAGGTGATTAGGAAATTGGGTCATAAGAATCCTACCTCTTTTTAATAGGACAAGAGAGAAATTTGCAGGAAAACCACAGTAGAATAGCACTGGTAGGCAAAACTTTTAAAAGTAGCAAGGCCTTCATACCCATTCACTGCTTCAGGTACTAAGAACATGAAATTAATAGTTCCTGTCCTTGAGGTGCTTATAGTCGACCATCCAGTCCAGCTGTAGAGTCAGTCATTGTTATCTGTCACCCTTATTTATTTTATTTGCTCATGTGTGACATTTTCTCTATACCCAGATATTAATTACGTGGTGCTTCTGCTCTATTCCTTCTCTTTTAGGCAAAGATAGACCTCTTAGTAGTTGGAGATGTTGCTGTTCGCTACCTGGCTGATGCTGTACCGAAATTCTTTTCTGATGCAGCAGAAGTCACCATCACCATTAGTGACATAAAGAAGGCACTGGTCCTTCTGGATGAGTGCACATTCCACATGGTGTTCCTGAAGGTAACTTCTTCACTGACTGCCGAGGAGCTGGACGCTGTCAAGTTAATTAGGTAAACTTCGAAAACCCTCACTCTATATCTTGAGAACAGATATAGAACCTAAATCTACTTGTATGAAAATCCTTAAAAGATGAAATATTTCTATTTTGATTTTTTAAATGAGGGCTATCTTTTCATGGGCGGAATCTATATATATTTTGTTGTTTTGATTGCCAGTTTGACATACTGTTATAAGAATTATCATTTTAACTTGAAAAGTAATAGGTATGAGTAAGAATGTAAGAATTAATTGATCATAGAAGTTTATTTAGTATATAATGCTTACATTATTCCCATAGGGAGACCTTTTTAATAAGTGTATCAATAAAATGGCACATCTTTTCAGAGTTCATTAATCGTATGGCAGACACTAAAGCAAGTGAGCACTCTTAGCCCTATGACGTGTTAGCTGTGGACTGCAGGTGTCTGCTCCATGAGGTTCTCTGGATCCATTGAATCCAGACAATGGCAGACACTAAAGCAAGTGAGCACTCTTAGCCCTATGACATGTTAGCTGTGGACTGCAGGTGTCTGCTCCATGAGGTTCTCTGGATCCATTGAATCCAGACACTACCGTCACCTCAGTATTCTTGTTTCGTCTTGTAGCTGCATGCAAGTTCTGCTGTTTTTTAACCCACTACGGCTCTAGAGAACTGGAGTCCAGTGGAGGGAGAGTTAGGTTTTTCCCTGCCTGACAAAATAGGATTTCAAACTGCTTAGGATATGTTTAACAGAGTTAGGTCAGAACAAACTGGTTCTCCTTCTACAAAAAGACTTGATAGAGAAAGTGGAATTGTAGATGATATTGGAATGTGTGAGAGCTTGTCAAAATTGTCGAAAGGACAGGCCATTCTAGGCTAAAAGAGAAAGTTCAGAGACGATATTGTGATCCCTGAATAAACAGGAGCAAGCAAATTACCTTAGGGGAGGAGAAAGGCTGGAATGAGAAGAAGCCCAAGCCACTGGGTTACCTGGTGCCAGGGAGAGACAGACACTCCTCCTGGGGTTTCTTAGAACAGTTGGTCTCCTGCATTTCTTTTGCTTTCTGCTAGGAATATGCATTCTAGACAAATCAGGCAAACTACCTCAAAGTGACTTCACATCCAAAACATGTTATGTACTGTCCTCCTGAGAACATGCCTGTTTTATTACATACCTTTAAAGAAATCTCCTACAGAGAGTTCCTCTGTTTGGGGACTCATCATACTATCTCATTTATATGGTATTTTTTTATTTTTACAACGGCTACATGAGCAGGGTAGAGCAGAGTCTCATCATCCCTCGACAGATGGAGACTGGAGTGGCTGGCTGAGACCACGTGGCTTTCTGAGACCACATGGCTTGCTGTCACAAAACTCAGACTAGAGCTCTTTCCTCTGCCCTTTAAGTCCTTTCTAAAAGCATGTCCTTATTTAACTTTTGTATTGAAGCCACCTCTGTTGCACCTCTGAGGTTCAGTAAACACCAAACTTAGTGTAAACCACACGTAGATGCTGTTTTGGAAGAGCGCGGGACACGTCAGCATGGCTCGTCTCTCCATTCTGAGAGCAGGATCCTAGCTGTGCCTCCCTGGATGGAGGGGAGCTTTGCATTTGCTCACTACTGGAGGTACAATTGGAATGGGATGAGATAAAGTTCTGTTTAAGACCACCTTTATGCTTAGTCACAGTTTTTAAAACATGGGAAGTTAAAGGAGAGAGCCTGCCATGTGACACTCACCTGTGCAGATACTCCCCTCTGCTGCTTCTGTCACCCTGAGTGGTGTGGCTTAAGTCTTCTCAGCAGGGAGTAGGAGGCAGGTGAAGGTGCTCGTGTACAGATATGCATACATATGTTAGTTCTAGGATTTTGCTGTACAAGCATTGGTTTGGAAAGCAAAAAAGGATAATTTTGGGAATACTCCTGGATTTGTTTTCCTTGTGTCTTGGGGCGCTGTTACCAATGCCCAGCATAGGTCTTGCCTGACAGCAGGTGCTACCTTCCTCGCTGGCAGCCTGAGCGGATGACTGTGTGGAAGAGCGTGAGGATGCCGTTCTGGGTAGGCAATGAGTGCTAGCTTTTGTGTTCCTCTCTGCAAAAGGGGTGAAGTTTTCTTTGTGGAAGCTTTGCTTCTATGATGATGGCCTCAGAGGTAGGAATGTGTCTGAAATTCCCTTTCCTGCCCTCAGAACTGCTAAGAGTTTATGATTTATGAACTATTTAAATCCTTATGCAGATGTCTATAGTTTTACTTAGGATAATGAGTTCTATGCACATACTGTCCCATTTGTAAGGTTTTCAAACCTTCATCTTTACTAAAGTGCTGTATCTTTTGAGTTTTGGCGACATTTAATGACTAAACCAAAATGAAGAGCCTGGTTTAGCTTTTCTTCTGCTATATTTTAGACTTTTACCCTTAGATCTTTGTTGTTGTTTTGTAATATCTCAAAGTCTGAATGGGTCCAGGAAAATGTACAACTATTTCCCTTATTCTTCTCTCCCTGGGCATTTTATGTTCCCTGCCAGTGAATGAGGAACTTACTCTAGAGTAGAAGGGTCCATATGTATTTTCAGTATTAGAGCACATGATTATAAATCTGTATGACATGTGGATTTTTATTGGAAATAAGAATGAAGTTTAGCCTATTAGCTATATTAATTTTAGAATAAAATGAAAGCAGCCTCCGTAAAAGATTCTTAAATTTATTCTTACATAAGGACTGTTTTAAGCTTGGTGCTAATCATTGATCAACTTTAATTATTTATGAAATATTGGTACATTACAGACTGACACTCTCAAGAAATACAGTACATCTCAATTACTGGCTCGCATTCCTGATAGTACTGCTCGTTTGTTTTCATTTCTTGAATGTATTGAAAGAGCGTATTTTTATTGAGCAGATGAGCTCAAATACTACCCAGTGGTAAAATATTTTAAGATGACCGTGGTAAAATATTTTAAGATAACCTTAGGATTCATATTCTTCGCTCTAGAATTCTAAGATATTTCACTCTTGGCTTAGGTCAATTCTCAAAATTGAGCCACATTCAAAGGACTATAATTCAGACACATTCTGACACTTTATCTTCCAAAAGCAGGTACAGAAAATTAAAATATGTTTCAAATTTATCAACAATGTATGGATCCTCTCTGGGATTGTGATTTTCCTTTTCATGAAATGGCTCTGCCCTTCTTAAAATTGCTTGATCCTTGTGAGCTCAGAGCAGTTGAGCAACAGGAAAGGAATGCAGGACGTGGTTCCATGTGCTCGGCTTACAGATCAAGTCTGGATCTGATTTCATTTTTCTCCATATAGTTTAAATAATCTGATCAGTTAACTTATCACTTCACTAAGAAAACCCAATCTTGTGAAGCACAAGGATCTAGTAAGTTGCCCTTTTATGTTCAATTCCGAAACATCCTTGATGTTTATTCAAGTGTAACTCAGTAAACGTTGTTAGACAGTTTGCATGACCTGGTTCCCTGAATATGTGACAATAAACACAATAACAAAAAAAATCTAAGTAGTTTTACTGAAAATGTTATCCTAGAAATTGGTGGTGTATGTGAAAAGGAAGTGAGGAAAATTCTAGATCTTTATAATTTCTAGCACTATGTCATGAGGTGAATGTCAAAGCAGGAAGAACTCTTCTGTGGAACGGCATATTGGGAGCAGGGCACACCAACCTTCACCATTGACCAAAAGAAACTATCAGAACGTTACTACATTTTATTGTAGGTGCCCTATTAGTAGAAAGTGAACTCAGTGTTTTTATATTTATAGTAAAAGTCTCTTAAACTGGTTGTTGTAATTAAGTAATTAATGTTTGTTACAAGTCCCAATAGGCCACGCCAGGGTAGTTTGGCTGCATTTGGTCCATTGACAGAATAATGTATAGCTGTATTCAAGAAGGTCACAACCCGAACATGACACTGGCTTTTGTCCCTTGGCTCTAAAGGAAGTAAGTTTAGAAATTTCCCCCAGCTTCAGTGGACTTATAAGACCTCTCTGTGCCTTCTTGACGATAGCTCTCAGAGGCCAAGCTTCCCTGAGATCCTTTGGTCAGCAGAATGTACAACTCAGCTCAAAGCTCTTTCATATGACCACTTTTTCTCAGCCGCCGGAGGCCAGACCAGGGGCTGGGCAAGACTGAGGATGGGCACGACTGCAGTTTGAACTTCTGGCTGGCTCTCCTTTCAGAGAGTTCTGGAGGAAGGCACAGGAATGGGAAGGAGGATGTCAGCATCCAATCTCATATGTGGGGTAGAGTCTCAGGAACCATCATGACATTTAAACAGTATAATATGTGAAACATGAGGAGAAATGAATTGTCCTCAGTGAAATACAAAATTTTAAGACATGGGAGACATCAATTGGGAAGGTCTCAGAACCTGTGATTTGATTTTATATATAGAAAACAAAGTGGTATTAGTTGGGGTGGATAAAAGAAATTTTTGTTTTGTTTCTTAGTTTTTGTGTTGCTTAGTTTTGGAGCATTCATTCATTAGAAAGAGAACATTTTCTTGTTGATCCTGGAAACTAGGAACTCTTTTAGCTTATTGATTTGTAGAGAATGTGAATGAGAAGCTGAGCTTAGGAACAGAGTGTTGGGCTCTAGGAATTCTATCGTTTTCTGGGGTCCCGATACACTCTACAATTAGGGTTTCACCGGCAGAGGGAGTGTTTGGGTTGGTCATTGATTCTGTGCTAATGACAAAAATCTAGAGATGCCAACTCTGTTTGGTGTAAAGCTTGAAATCTGAAAGTCATCAGGGCATATAAATCTATATATCCAAGTCCAACATATTTTAGTGTCAGTAAAATCAATTTGTATAGTTTTTCAAAAATGCACATAAGATGATTTCTAAATGCAGTCTTTTTTTTAATTCTCTAATTCTAGACTATTTTAACACGATAATTTGCTTTTTCTGAGTCTGTAAAGTATTTTTATTTCAACAGTTGGCCTAAACTGTTGAGTAACTTTCTTTCAGTGGTCCTATCTGTTCAGTCCATCTTCCCCTTCCACCTCTCTTTCCTCATCCTGCTGTCCATACCTCTATTAAACTCCACATTATATACACGCACCCCATATACCACATACACCACATATGGACACATCCTGCTGTCCATACCTCCATTACACTCCACGCTTCCTCACCACTTAATATACAGCCACGCACCATTGTTCAGTCAACAGTGGGCTGCATATACGACAGTGGTCCCATAAGATATCGATCGCTATCCCCTTATAGCCTAAGTGTGTAGTAGGCTCTACCACCTAGGTTTGCAGTGATGCTCGCACAATAATATCACCTAATGACATATTTCTCAAAATGTATCCCATCATTAAGCAATGCACGTATCCCTTCCTTTCTTCTCTTCCAGCCCCAACTCCTCAGAATTCATAGGACAGAATCAAACCTGAATAGACCTCCACTGGGTGAATGTCACATTTTAGCAATAATCCTGCTTGTCCAAAGTAATTAACTTAGTTAACATTCTGAATTATTTATTTTTGCAGAAGGTTCTCAGGTATACCTACTTACTTGCCATCAGCTCTTGCCTGGATAACAGCAGTACAGTCTTTCCAGTTTACCCTGTGCCATCCCCATCAATCCATACCATCACAGGCAGAGTAGTCTTTCTAAAAGGCAAATGTAATCTTGTTGCTCCCATGTGGAACAGCTTCCCAGTGCCCATTTTAATGAAATCCCAGATCTTCCCTTTGGCCTAAAGGCTACTGTGGTCAGAGTCCAGCCCTCCCCACCTGTCTGGCCTCTTCTCATGTCCATCTCCCTCAGATGCTCTGTGCTGGAGCTGTCTTGGGCTTCTTTCACTTTATCAAGCTCACCTTGTTCTCTGCCATCTCAGTGCCCGTGCACATGCTGTTCCCTTGACCCAGGATGTGCTTTGCTGTGTGTCTCCTTCCCGTGCTCCCTGGTCCCCCACTCTCCCTGTGACTGAAGAGCTGTCTTGGGCTTCTTTCACTTTATCAAGCTCACCTTGTTCTCTGCCATCTCAGTGCCCGTGCACATGCTGTTCCCTTGACCCACGATGTGCTTTGCTGTGTGTCTCCTTCCCGTGCTCCCTGGTCCCCCACTCTCCCTGTGACTGACTTCTGGCCAGCCTGGAGCCCTGGCTGCCTGGAAGCCTCCCCTGAGGCTGTAGAGGTGGGGGGAGACCCACTCACACGCTCCTGTTGGACCCCATGACTTTTCCTCATGGGGCCGGACACATTTTTGGCCACTTAATTATCTACAGTATTTTGTTTAATGTCTGTGCTTCTCAAGAAACTGTTATGGGAACAGGGACCTTGTCTGTCTGTTTACCATGATGACCCCAGAGCCTAGCACAGACTCTGGCACATAGTAGGTTCTCAATTAAATGACTCAGATATATAAATTATATATAATGTAATTTGGCATATAGAATAATATACACTTATTTCTAAATGCACATATAATAATATAACAATATTATGCAGTGGGGGTTCTTCCAGTTCTTGTTTTAATGAATAAATAATTACCATATATAACCATATACTAAAAAATAATGTTTTAAGTATTTAAGAACAGTTTGTTCTTCTTAAGCACTTTTAACTGTTCTCTTTAAAGTCTAATTCACAGTAATATTCTCCTTGGAAAATCATTTTCTTTTGGCCAATGACAAGGCTCAGTATCCATCAAATTGTTCGAAATTCCAACTTACCGTACTCTTGAGTTTAATTAATTACAATGTCACAAATTTTTAAAAATTTTCCTTGCTCCATCCACCAGTGGATTATTTTAAAGTAAACCTAAGATATTTCATTTCTTTCACTAATACTTAAACAGGTAGCTCTCTAAGATAAGGACTCTTAAAAACAAAACGAAACAACTGTGATACCGTACCACACCTGACAATTTTAAACTGTGAGTTTTTACAAATCAGGATTCGACTTTCTCTTCCCACAGTTTGTTTGGTTTTTCTTTTCTTTTTCTCTTATTCTTTAATTATACACATGTATATTTTAAAGGGGTCATTCATCTTACAAAATTTCCCAGATTCTGGATTTTACTGATTTCATATCTACAGTGTTCTTTAAAATGTTCTTTTCCCCAAATTTTTCATAAACTGATCAAAAATTTAGTTAAGGTTTAGGCTGTTTTCTTTTGTTTTTTTCAAAGTGGTTCATCATTTTCCTCACTGATTGGAGATGCCACCCTTTCTAAATTTCCATATTAATGCCATCATTTTAAATTCTGAAGAAATAAAGAAAATCACTGTAGTTCAGTTCCTATTAAGCTAAACTCTTGAATCCCAATGTTTTGAATGACGATTTTGCTTCATTTTAATATTTTTTTTTTCTCTCTCAGATTTGGCAAGAAGAAAAATACACATTTGCTGTTTGTTTTTATAATCCCTGAAAATGTTAACGGTATGTGCCTGCTGGATATGGTATTTGTTTTTTTCTCCAAATAGAAATCATAAGGTCACTATTTAATACAAAAATTTTTAGGTTGTTTTTCAGGTGGTGGAGCTGATATTACTCTAACTGAACCACTAACCATGGAAAAAATGAGTGTTGTGGTAAAATACTGGAAAACATATTTCTCAAGTACTGGTGAGTGAAAAATAAATTTCCAAAGATTCAAAAAATTTTACTTAAAATTCTATGAAAACAGTGTTTATACATTTTAAATTGGTTTTCCACTTACATCTTTTACTTGTTGAGGATGTGTGCTGTGCACTGTAAAGAACGTGTAATCTTTGTTAATCATAGTCTAAAGAAAATAAGTGTAAATAAAGAGAAATATATATTTTCTTTACCTGAGAGGAAAAAATCTGTCTTGAGAGGTTTAAAATGTGTTGCCCAAGGACAAATACAGTGTTGTAGTAGGCACAGGGTGTTTCATTTTGTTTTGTTGGTAGATTGTGTTAGTACTTTTTTTTTTTTTTTTTTTTTTGGTAGATTTTTTTATTACTTTTTTTTTTTTTTTTTGTTGGTAGATTGGGTTAGTTTTTTTTTTTTTTTTGTTGGTAGATTGGGTTAGTTTTTTTTTTTTTTTTGGTAGATTTTTTTATTACTTTTTTTTTTTTTTTTTTTTTTTTTTTTTTTTTTGGTAGCCTAGCCACCGTAATTTCTCTGTCATTAAAATAGAATTGTTCATGCTGTGTCATTGTAAGATTGTTTAAAAGTCAGGGGCACTAACCTGAGTTGTGCAGTACTTTCCGCTATGCTAACCACTTGCCTATACATTATTTTACTTCTTTAAGTTAATCAAGGTGGTTATCTTTTCTGTTTTAGACTTTTAAATACAGAGAATTAGCGTCAGGGCTTCAACTAAACCTCACATTTCTAAACTCTTTACCTATTATATTATGCTTATCACCAGCATCTAAACACTTAAACTAATTAAATTAGCCTTCTTGTAAAGGGACAGACTCTAATTTTTGAAATTAAATTCCATTGGAATCACTGTTGGTCAGTGACTATTTTTGATCTTTCTAGGCGTGGATGCTAGCTAGGAAATCTTTTAAAATTAAGATGATGTTAAATGGGGAGATGATGGTCAAAGGGTCCAAAGTTTCAGTTAAGTACAATGAATAAGTTCTGGAGACCTAATGTGCAGCATGGTGACCACAGTTAACAATACTGTTTTGTGTACTTGAAATTTGCTGAGAGGGTAGGGAGATCTTAAGTGTTCTCACCACAAAAAAGAAAAAGGAAAAAAAGGAACTAAGTGAGGTGATACATTAATTAACCTGATCGCGGTGATTATTCCACAGTGTATGTGTACATCAACTCAAGTTGCACCTTAAATATATACAGTTTTGAATTATTACTTATGTCTCAACAAAACAGGAAAAAATTAAAAATAAAATTAAGTCAATATTTGTTTTCAAATGGACCTGAAAGACACTTTCAGGATTATCCTGTGTATACTTATGTTCTAGATGATACAGGATTCAGTACCCCCTCCTTTTTTCAGTGTTCTTTCTTAATATTCAAGTTAGCAAGTCTGTCTGTAACATCCCAGTGGCTCCCAGCCCCTGCAGTTTCAGAGTTCTTCCTGGAAATGGCTAACCACGGTGCCCAAGGTCCTTTCACAACCTCTTCTTGTTTGGTACTCAGTGGGGATAGAGCAGCTGCTCGTCACCTGTGCCGCACGTCCTTCTAGTGGTCATGACCACGTCTGCTTTCACTGTCTCATCTTTGCTCTGAGGATGAGCAGCTGCAAAAGACAAGTTTTTTTCAGATGCCATATTTTGACAATGCAGCTGCTTATTGAAGAGTTACGCATATTTTCTGTCTCTTGACATTTACTTATAAATAGGAACTTGATAAATAAACTCAGCTGAATGTGTTCTAAGCACACCTGTTGCTAAGTTACTAGCATCTGGTTAAAAGAGGGTATGCTGAGGTAAATAGTATATAGTATTTTTATTTTGCTTTTTAATGTGAGTGGTTTTATGCTTCACACGCTGAAATCTATAAATTATTTTCTGTTTTTAAAATACTGCTTTGTAAAATCTATTGAGTAAAAAATGACCACTGCTTTACAGATTAGGGCTTGTATGTTTGATTAGCATCATCTCCATTACTGATTTTAGAACTAAAATGGTCCTTCTTTTAAAACTTTCAGTTAAGAATGAAAATGCTATGAGGCCAGAAGAACCTGGATTGCCCCTGCTGAGGTCCTGCAGTGAACACGTGGGATATTTTTCTACTGATCTATTTGCCTGGTTAGTTTTTGGTTTTTTTGTTTTTTTTTTTTTTTTTTTTTTTTTTTTTTTGGTTCTTTTTCATAATAGCAATTTTTATTGTATATATTTCATTAAAAACTTATTGTGGAACACTAGCTCAAGTGCTAGGGGTAACGCAGAAGAAAGAGGCTATTTCATGCAACTCATGAGCTTATCCCCCAGTTATTGAAAAACCACTCTTAAAAAAGGATTTAGAGTTTCTTTTACATACATCATGTGGCTTTTAGAATAACCTTGTGATATACAGAGCAAGTTTTAACGTGTCTCTCTGTGTCTCCATCTCAATGCCTGTCCGTCTGTCTCCCTCTCTCTCTGAGAGATGTTAGAACTAGCATTCAAACCTGTATTGGATGGGCAATTGAACTAGGGAGTCAGACCCTTCCAGTGCTAGCATTTTATGCTTATAAAAATCCAATTTTTGTGAATTTCTTCCCTTCACTTTAAGCTGATTTTCAAGGAAGTTTTAAATAGAGCATAAAGCTGCAAAGAATGAAAATAACTGCTGAGACATGGGTACTGATGATGATTAGAACTTTGAGTCAGTCACTTCTGGAATTTTAGAATGTGGCCATCTACTATTTTGAAAAAGGAAGGGACTTGGCGACTAGTAAGTGTGGTTAAATCAAAGATGAGCTCACTTAGGTAGTGCAGAGATATCAACAGCTTTTTTATCTTATTTACCATTTTAACCTCAAAGACATTTACTATGTCTGGGATATAATCCCTTATCTGGGATGTGAGGTTGGGAAGGGTTTTGGGAGGTTTTGTGATTTTCTTAAATTACTTGTAACTACTTTTTGATCTCTATTTCTCGAATCTGCCTTTATTCAGAATGCTAACACTATAAATAAAGGTTTCAAAACAAGTTATGTCCTTTTGGATAAAGGAAATATGATTAGTTTGCAAGTTTCTTAGGTTGATTTTTTTTTTTTTTTTTAAATCAATCAACTTGCCTGGAATGTGCTGAAGTTCTAGGAGAACAGTAGAGCCAGAAAAATGTCCATTAAGTGACTGATTTTAAAATGGAGGACACTTGCCCTTTGCTGATCCAGTTGGAATAGGGTGTATCTTGGCCCTCCAATCCTTTGTGGTTTTTTCCTGTAATGTACCTTTCCTTCTGAAGGGAAGATACAGTCATAAAACTCGGCATAGTCATAGTCAGTGAAGTCAGAATATTTTAATCCTGCTTGTATCTGTTATTCTTTATCAGTATATTTTAGAATTTTAATCAGTCATTTAATTTATGATTATTTTGATAAATTCTTTTAAAATTCTGAAATAAAACATTCTGCACCAAATGTGTAAAGTGCTTCAATATTTATTGCCCCTTTGTATGAAGCAAGAGACTTAGAGAAGCATAATTTGACTAGTGGATTGATGCTTAATGTTTAATATTGCCTGACAGTTTTCCTCGTTAATGTGTGATATGATTTTCTCTTGTTTCTAGCTCTGAATCTCTAAGAAATAACATTGGATTTGAATTAAAAGCTCCATTGTCAGATTTTGAGGAAAGCAAAGAGATTCCTCTTCGTCATTCAAGCAAAGAAAAGTTAAGAAGGTGAATTTTGATACAGTCTCTTTTTAGCATTAGCCTTTTGTGAGGAGAAATTACTTTCATGAATTTCATATTTTCCTGTGACATTGTTAACAGTCTAAGTGAAACTGGTAAATCTGTCAACTAAGTAGATGACACCCATTCATTCATTTAGTCATTCAACAAATGTCTGTGAGCATGCACTATATGCCAGAATATGATTGGAGAACTGAGATTAAAAACAATATATCCTTGCTTTCAAAGGAGGTCTCAGTCTAGTGCTCAGACAGACTTTTAAATAGGCTATTAAATAAAAAATTGTTTTAATAAGTGTCATGATTGAGAATAACACAGTAAGCACACTAGGAAAGGTATCTAAGACAGGATGAGGGAAGGCTTTCTCAAGAAGGTAATGACTAAGTTAAGCTTTCAACAAAAGTGGCTCTTTATTGGTTTAGAAGTAAGGGAAGGACATTTTATATGGAGGGAATAGCAGGTACAGAGGCTGACAATATCTGAGTACAAGAGGGAAGAGGCAAGAGATGAGAGGTGGTAGGTGAGGGCTGGGTATGTTATGCTGAGGAATTCAAATCGCAACTTGAGCTGTTGGGGAGCCACAAAAGGATTTTAGGTAAGGAGTGATATGATAAGATTTGTATCTCATGATGAGCAAACACTCTAGAAGGATATTAGAGAGTGGATTGAGTCAGGAGGCCAAAGGAGTTTATAATAAGAAATGATGAAATCCTGAGCTATGGTGTTAGAAATGGCATAGAAAGGAATAAGCCAATTTTAGATATATTGAGTAGGTAGAACAGGGTGAGCAGGGCTGAAGGAAGAGTCAAGTCACTGCCAAGTGGATGGTGGAACCGCTGACTGACAGGTGCAGTAGGACGGCAGCGTGAGGGGCAGGAGGTGAATATCCTTTTTTATTTTTGCTCTTGTTGAGTTTGCATAGCTCCAGGTTTAAATGGAGTAAGGAGTTAGCCCTCTGATTCTAGAGAAAGGTCTAGGCCAAAAATGTAGACTTAGAGGCATCTGTTTGGAGCAGTAGATATAGGAATGGATACAGGATAAAGCATGTAGGGAAGAGACACATGGAGAAAACAATGTTGGGAAAATCTCAGTAGTTAAGGTACAGGTAGCAGAGAAGGAATCAGGGGAAACAGAAAGTTACTAGGGCAATAACAACAAAATAAAGAGGGAGCAATGTTGAGGAACCAGCGGAGAAGAGTTTCCTAAAGGAGCGGGTGTTGAGGAGTATCACACGATGCAGAGGTCACGTAGGGTAAGAACTGATAATTAACTGTTCGTGTTTAGCAAAACCTAAATGTTATTGATCTTGGCAGGATTAATTTCACCGGCATGGCTAGGGAAGAAGCATCATTACAGAAAGGGGGGGAGTGAAAGCTGGAAGCACAGATGAAAGGAAGGAGAAGATGAAGGCGTGATGGTTGAAAGGGGACGTGGGGTAAAGTGAGAAATCTCCACAAGCTCGGGCCAGACTTGACTATGTTCATGTTTACATAACAGAAGAAAACAGCTTGAGGAGAGAGAGGTCTTGAAGATACTCGTGCTCTGGCTATCTGTGGCTGCATAAAATACTAAACCAAAATGTATGCACTTGAAACAGCAACTGTTTTATTCTATCTCATGGTCTTATGGGTTACTCAGTTACCCCAGCTAACTGAGCTGGGGTCAGTTAGGCAATTTTTCCGCCTATATGACATTAACGGAAGACACTCGGTGGTTCTCAGCTGGTGCATGGCCTGATCAGGAGAGTCCAAGACATCACATTTCTGAACATTTTGCAGGGATGGTTGGAAGGCTGAGCTCAGCTGGGGCTATCAATTGAAACCTCCACAGCATGATAGTTTCAGGGTCACCAGACTTTTACACGGCAGCTCAGGGCTCCTAGAGAATGTCCCAAGAGACAGGAAGTGGAAGCTGCCAGTCTCTTAAGGACCAGGCCCAGACACAAGGCCAGTGCCACTTCTGTCACACACTACTGGTCAAAGCAGTACAGAGCCCATCCAGATCCAAGGGGAGGGGACACAGACCCCACCTCTCTGTGGGAGGAATGTCAAAGAATTTTAATCCCCCACAGCTGGTGAGGGGCAGTTGGTGATGGATTTAGCATCCCTAGGGAGGCAGAAGGCAATGGAATCCAGAACCAGGTAGAAGAACACCTCTTCCATTGAAAATGGAGAGAAGGAGTTCGAGGCTCAATGTGAATACACATGGGTTTTCTGATGGGGTCAGACAGGGGAGGAAGCTGAGCAAGTTCTGTGCTGAGTGGCCTCTATAATCTGCTGAAGATTAGTGGGAAGAAGGTGGGGTTTGGGGCTTGATGAGATGGGGCAGTGAAGATGATAATCTGATCCAAAAGGGCTTCGCTCACACGTCTGAGGCCTTGGCCAGGTAAAAACGTATGGCCTCCTGGCCAGTGCTGCCCCATAGATTTCCCTGATCTTCAGCAAAATGAGAAAAATACAGTGTAGTGAATATTTTTAAGGCTATGTATTACATTAAGGGTACTACAGAAAGTTCATGGAAAGAATCGTATTCTCTTTTAAATCTGTTTTTCAATGAACTTTTTGAAGTACCCTTGTATAATTTATATCCTAAGATTGTTTCTCCATACTTTATTTGGTATTAAAAATCATGGTGATAATAGTAAACGCTTACAATGAAATCATGTTGGGAGAGGGTACTTTTTTATTATTATTATAAATGTTGGGATCCTTTATCTATCCCCCGAAGTTATGTGTTACTTTGTTTTTTTTAATTTAGTGGATAATGAAAATTAAAATCAAACAACCACTTTTCTAATAGGTTAAAGAGATGCTTTGGGGGTTGTTCACTTCAATGGCCTTATTGGAAGGAATAGAAATCTTTGTTCCCCAAAAAGAAAAGTTGTGACCAGAAGCTCCCCTCTTCCCCTATAGAGATTTGCTCAGGAGATTCCAGAAGGTACACAAGCCATCCCTAGTTATTGTGGTTCTTTCTTTTTGTTTTTGGGTTTTTTTGCCTTCCCCTCTTCTTAATCCTTCTGACTATGCCCTTAAATCTTAAAATGTAGCTTCTGGTCCGTTTCCCCTCTTCCTTCTCCTCCTCTCAATGGTTTTGTCTTTTTGTTTTATTTTGTTTTTAAGCAGCATAGGATAGCATGATGTTTTCTAATATTAAGGAAATGATGGTTCTGGATGATGGCTTTGAATATTTGCAAATTTGGGAATTTTTTTTTTCCTTTTTGACAACTCTAACACCCCTGTTTTCTTCATTAGAATAGATTAATAG